GTGATGAGGGCGGAGCCACACGGGAGAGGAGTTCGATGAGATAGGCTGTTGACGTCGGTTTGGTCTCCAAGTGGACCAACCTCCGTAGGTGGCGTCGACGGCGAGCTACAGTCGACAAGGCTTGAGGTCAGACGAGAGTGACGCCCGCAAGTCAAAGTTCGGGCGAGCTCGAGGAGCTTGGCAGATGAGGTCGAGGAACCAGTGAGCTTCGAGCGGGCGATGTTCGAGTGGACGAGGTTCGAGTTCGAACCGACGAGCAAACGAGGCCCGAGCAGACGAACTTCGACGGACGAGGTTCGAGCACGAGTGGTCGAGGGTCGAGCTTCAGAGGTGAGTTGTGTGTGGGCTGGCGACAGCCTATCGCCAGCGTAACCCTAGGGTTTCCCTATAAAAAGGAAACCCAGAGCTCAGGTGAGGGTGTTTCTTCGCGTGGTTTTCCTTCAGCGGCAGCGGACGAAAAAATCGCAGCAGTGATTTTCTCTTTTCTCCCTTTTTCGGTGAATTCATTCCCAGCGCTCACAATTTGAGGGGGAATTTTAGAGAGAGGGAATTAAAAAGGGGGGTTTTCTCAAGAGCATTAAATAGGGATTATTCTCTTTGGATTATTAACATTGTGGCTACAGTGTTTGTATTGAGAAATCTCAGTTTGAGATCTGCTCTTGTGCTGTAATTTCTTGTTGATTAATAAAAAATTAATTGTGTGGCTCCCGAGAACGTAGGCAGTTACCAAACCTCGTTAAACTTGGTGTACTTTTCTCTATATTGCGTTTCTGTTGTCTTAGGGGTTTCGGCGTAAAATCCCCAACACCCTCTCCTGCTACAGTGCAGGTGGCCCACATGAGATTTTTAAAAAATCTCATGTGGGCCTCCCTGCACTGTAGCAAGAGAGGAGGTGTGGCTGAGAGTGTGCCCAAGGGTGTGCCTATAGTGCCCCCTTATTTTTCAAGTAACTGTTATTTATAGAAAACCTCATAAACCCTTCGTTTTCATGCTAATTTCTAGATGCTGATATTCTTATTTCATGCTCCTGCTCATCTACCAGTTGTTCCTCTCACGCTGTCACTTTACCTCACCATCAGTTACCGAAGACCAGAACAAAGTCCCCAAGAAAAATGGTACGGAGTTCTGATGAATCGTTCTTAGGTTGCGATTTTCTCGGGTCTTGGCATCAAGAAGAACAGTATCATGTTTTAGAGTCCAGCAACTGCAACCTGAAGGCAGATTCCTAAGTTTTCGACAGAACAACTCTAAAGTTGACTAGTTTAAGCAATACTTATGTATTTTAACTGTCTCGTAACCGTTTTCGTATTAGATCAATCCTAGGGTTTTGAATATCCCTCTCTCTATAGAACCTTTGACAATGAATCAAAAATAAAAGCCGGCACATCCTGTGTAAGCAGTGAAATGATCTGAGAAATTCAACTCAACTTTCCTCCATCAGCAGGATAAGATTAAAGGGTATATAACTTTGGTTTATTAGTGTCAAAAGGTCTTATAATAGATGTCAGAAGCTGAATAGCTTTGGGATTACTAGCTCTAAAACCATTCCAGATATCTCGAGCGGGGGCTACTTATTGATTGAATCAAAGTAAATTCTAGGTGATAAAATGGAGGGCCAATAATATGTGATGTATAATTACTAGCTCAAACATGTTTTTTTTCTTTTTTTTTTTTACATACGTATACATTTCAAATAATGTGTATGGTACACACAAAAAATATATAGGTTTGTAGATGCAGATGATGTCCCGAGTAACCTCTCAGAAGAACCCAATGCAGAAGGCCCTCAGCCAGAAGAACATGTTGGACAGAACGGTGCGCAGGAGCCCGACGCACCAGCTCCGATATTGAGGAGAACTACTCGTCCTTCTGTGCCTAACAGCAGATACATGAATTATATGTTGCTGACAGATGGAGGGAAGTCTGAAAGCTTTGATGAAGCTTGTCAGAGTTGAGATGCGAGCAAGTGGGAGTTTGCTACGAAAGAAGAAATGAAATCTCTGATCTCCAACCAGACATGGGAACTAGCTGAGTTGTCCATGGGGAAGAAGGCACGTCACAACAAGTGGGTGTATCGAGTGAAAAAGGAACAGGATGGTTCCAGAAGATACAGAGCCTGATGAGTTGTCAAAGGATTTCAACAGAATATCCAAGGAAGAAAGAACCCAGCAGATATGTTGACAAAGGCAGCGACCTTTCAGAAACTGGAGTTGTGCGCAACTTCAGTTGGCCTTCATGCATAGGTGATGAGGGCGGAGCCACACGGGAGATGATGCTTGTTGAGATAGCCTGATGTCGTCGGTTTGGTCTCCAAGTGGGAGATTGTTGGAATGAGGTGTGGATACCAACCTCCGTAGGTGGCGTCGACGGCGAGCTACAGTCGACAAGGCTTGAGGTCAGACGAGAGTGACGCCCGCAAGTCAAAGTTCGGGCGAGCTCGAGGAGCTTGGCAGATGAGGTCGAGGAACCAGTGAGCTTCGAGCGGGCGATGTTCGAGTGGACGAGGTTCGAGTTCGAACCGACGAGCAAACGAGGCCCGAGCAGACGAACTTCGACGGACGAGGTTCGAGCACGAGTGGTCGAGGGTCGAGCTTCAGAGGTGAGTTGTGTGTGGGCTGGCGACAGCCTATCGCCAGCGTAACCCTAGGGTTTCCCTATAAAAAGGAAACCCAGAGCTCAGGTGAGGGTGTTTCTTCGCGTGGTTTTCCTTCAGCGGCAGCGGACGAAAAAATCGCAGCAGTGATTTTCTCTTTTCTCCCTTTTTCGGTGAATTCATTCCCAGCGCTCACAATTTGAGGGGGAATTTTAGAGAGAGGGAATTAAAAAGGGGGGTTTTCTCAAGAGCATTAAATAGGGATTATTCTCTTTGGATTATTAACATTGTGGCTACAGTGTTTGTATTGAGAAATCTCAGTTTGAGATCTGCTCTTGTGCTGTAATTTCTTGTTGATTAATAAAAAATTAATTGTGTGGCTCCCGAGAACGTAGGCAGTTACCAAACCTCGTTAAACTTGGTGTACTTTTCTCTATATTGCGTTTCTGTTGTCTTAGGGGTTTCGGCGTAAAATCCCCAACACCCTCTCCTGCTACAGTGCAGGTGGCCCACATGAGATTTTTAAAAAATCTCATGTGGGCCTCCCTGCACTGTAGCAAGAGAGGAGGTGTGGCTGAGAGTGTGCCCAAGGGTGTGCCTATAGTGCCCCCTTATTTTTCAAGTAACTGTTATTTATAGAAAACCTCATAAACCCTTCGTTTTCATGCTAATTTCTAGATGCTGATATTCTTATTTCATGCTCCTGCTCATCTACCAGTTGTTCCTCTCACGCTGTCACTTTACCTCACCATCAGTTACCGAAGACCAGAACAAAGTCCCCAAGAAAAATGGTACGGAGTTCTGATGAATCGTTCTTAGGTTGCGATTTTCTCGGGTCTTGGCATCAAGAAGAACAGTATCATGTTTTAGAGTCCAGCAACTGCAACCTGAAGGCAGATTCCTAAGTTTTCGACAGAACAACTCTAAAGTTGACTAGTTTAAGCAATACTTATGTATTTTAACTGTCTCGTAACCGTTTTCGTATTAGATCAATCCTAGGGTTTTGAATATCCCTCTCTCTATAGAACCTTTGACAATGAATCAAAAATAAAAGCCGGCACATCCTGTGTAAGCAGTGAAATGATCTGAGAAATTCAACTCAACTTTCCTCCATCAGCAGGATAAGATTAAAGGGTATATAACTTTGGTTTATTAGTGTCAAAAGGTCTTATAATAGATGTCAGAAGCTGAATAGCTTTGGGATTACTAGCTCTAAAACCATTCCAGATATCTCGAGCGGGGGCTACTTATTGATTGAATCAAAGTAAATTCTAGGTGATAAAATGGAGGGCCAATAATATGTGATGTATAATTACTAGCTCAAACATGTTTTTTTTCTTTTTTTTTTTTACATACGTATACATTTCAAATAATGTGTATGGTACACACAAAAAATATATAGGTGCCCGCATTTAAATCATCCGGTTTTGGTCAGATCCAACTCGGGCTTCGGGGTAGTAGTAGATGTGTTTGGCAGATTCTCAAAAGAAAATCAAAACCTGTCGATCCGACGCATACTGGCTCTTGAAACTTCTCAGAATCGTAATTTCCTGCTGGATTATGCAGATTCATGTATCGCGCATACCCAATCCGATAAATACCAAGTCAACCCGGAGCAAGTTTGCTCTAAATCAATCGATTAACGTTTTCAACGCGTTATGTACCCATTTGCTCCCTAGAAAACAGCAGAAAACGCTTTGTACCTTTGAGGTCAAACCTTTACATGGGAACCTCTTAAATTAGGCCCAACCCACTGAAGCTCAAGAGCAAGAAGCGAAGAAGACGAGTTCATCCTGTATTCATACGCTCTGTTACACGTTTCTCCATTTGACCAAGCTTTCTGCTATCAATATTGCAAGTGATGACTCAAGCCTTTAACTTTGTTTGGTCGCCTCGGAGTTTTGTGGAGGTCTTATTTAATGAAAAGTTGCCTTGTGTCCTTTGGCGGTCCCCCGCGCACTAAGCCTATGGAAAAACTCTCGCCATCAGTATGAATACAGGTCTGTTACTAGGCCCGGGCAAGCAAATGCAGCTGAGAAGTAAGTACCTAAAGCGCTGATATGGGCTCTTCCAGCTCAACGGGGCGCTTATAGTTTGATGTCATTTTAGGAAACGCTTGGACTTTAGCATTTGAGATATCCCGGCATTTGAGATTTTTGCATTAATATGCACACCTGTAAAGTGCCCACCCGATCCACCTCCTCCCTTTTATGACTTTTGGTGAATTGCTTCTCCTCTCATTTTCCTTCATGTGTCACCATCTCTAATGCCGACCACTCTCCAAAACTTGGAAGTAAAAACCAAAGTTGCTAACCTACCATTTTCCACCTGTAAATGCCAACCCTTTTCTCTCTCTCTCTCTCTCTCTCTCTCTCTCTCTCTCTCTCTAATCATTCTCCATTTATATCATATATTCTCAAAAAAAAAAAATACACTTCTATGGAATCATTTCACTACCCAATTCGACTCATGTCTTCTTCCTCTTTCTTCTTCATCATTCTCTCTCTGGTTTTCCTCTTTGAATGCTCGAACAGTCAGATACCTCTCGGTTCGAAACTCTCAGCCGGTGAGAACCAACCGTGGGTCTCCGAGGACCGAACCTTTGCGTTTGGATTCGCCCCAGCAGATTCAAGTGATCAACTTCTGTTGGCGATTTGGTATGCTGAACTCCCGGGAAATGCGACTATTGTTTGGTCCCCTAACAGAGACTCTCCTGTCACCAGCAATGCTGTAGTGAAACTGGAGCAGTCTGGAAACCTCGCCCTCTACGATCGAGGCAATCTCATTTGGGCTTCCAACACGACAGGCTTAGACGTTGGTTCTGCGATCATGTCAGATTCCGGAAGCTTCATCCTCTACAATGGCACTGGTTCAAACCGTAATATTGCGTGGCAGAGCTTCTGGCTTCCAGGTGACACTCTTCTCCCTGGCCAAAACCTTTCAGCATCCCTCGAACTCACTTCAAACAGATCACGATTCGGCTACTATTCTCTCAAAATGCTTCAGCAGCACATGTCTCTCAGTCTTGCTTTGACTTTTGTTACCTTCGATTCTCAAACTAACTACTCCTACTGGTCGAGCCCACAAATCTCGAATGCCACAGGCAATATCGTCGCAGTTTTAGATGCTTCCGGAAGTTTCAGCATCATGTACGGTGATTCCTCTGCAGGCACAGTGTACATTCACAAGAATGACACAGCACCGAACCCATCAATTCTCCGAAGGATCAAAGTTGATACCGATGGAAACCTAAGACTATATCAATGGAACACGATTACTTTGCAATGGGATGTTCAGTGGTCTGCAGTGTCGAATCCCTGCGAGGTTGCAGGGATTTGTGGAAATGGGATCTGTCAGTTGAATGGAAGTGGAATTGATGCTTCTTGTACTAGTTTAAAACCAGTGAATTCAGGAAGTTGCGGAGGAAATCTGAGGATGGAGACAATGCCACAGACTGACTATTATTTCCTTGGGCGAACAACGATTGCAAATTACAGTAATGTTACAACTGCGGATGAGTGTTCAAGCTACTGCTTATCCCACTGTGGTTGTGTTGCAGCAGTTTATGGTTCGATGGAGGATGATACTTATTGCTGGACTTTGAGCAGTGTGGTCTTCGGAGGGCTCCAAGATCCTAGCTCAACATTCTTCGTTAAAGTTGATGGGAGTTCAGGCCCAGGATCTGTCGATGGAAGGAGAAATGCAGATGGACACGGTGGACGATCTGCTCTTCTTCCGTTGCTTCTTTGCGTCTCTGCTCTTGTGTTGTTGTTAGGGATGTTGGTTTGTTATCTCGTTAGAAAGAGGAGAATTAAGGAAAAGAGGGGCATTGGGAGAGCTCTAAGCTTACCAGGAGCTCCAGTATATTTCAGCTACCATGATCTGCAGACTGCAACAGCGAATTTCTCTCAGCTGCTTGGAACTGGTAATGCCTGTTTACTTCTAAATTTGTTCTAGAATGATCATATTTTTTTTATCCCCTTCAATATTAATTTTGGTTTAACTAATCCTAGTTGACTTTTCGTTACATCTTACATGATTGTATCCCACTCGGATAGCTCAATGTAACAGCTAACCAATTTTTGACTTAAAAGTCATTAAGGCTAATAAAACTGACTGCAACTTTTACCTAGGTGGCTTAATAGATCACAATCAAGTAGTAATCAAGATGCAACAAAAATCAACATAGCTCCTAATTTTATGCCATGCATACAACAAGTAGGCCAGAAATCATGACAAAGCTCTAAAATGAAAAAAACTTAGGGTTATCTCCAGGTAAACTACTATACTATTGGGAGCATAGCTGCTGATTATCTCTGTTCCACTTCTTCAGCACACATTTCCTGGTCCCAAGTGTCTTTTTCAGTTAGTTTTTAAACTCGTGTAGGAATCGTGCGAGAATGTTCCTGGCAAATCAGTTACATAGATTGCTATTGCACAGAGGGTGCGTCTGCAAATAATCCTAAAATTTAAGCTAGTGAATATTGCTCTCTATTAAAATTATATAGCTTAAAGCCTCATGCATGTGTGCTTGTCCAAAATATCAGGAGGATTTGGAAGCGTTTACAAAGGAACTCTCAAGGATGGAACCTCAATTGCGGTCAAGAAGCTCGAACGATTTCTACCTCATGGTGAAAGGGAATTCGTCACAGAAGTTTCTACCATCGGCTCAATGCACCATATGAACTTAGTCACTCTCTGCGGATTCTGCTCAGAACGAACTCATCGGTCAGTAAATCATTCTCCTACCATTGCACCAATAACAAATCCCAATTCAACTAAATATTTGAAATTCTCATACAGGCTTCTGGTTTACGAGTACATGAGCAATGGCTCATTAGACAAATGGATATTTCCTTCTGATAATAGCCGACATAGTGATAAACTGCTAGACTGGCCAACTCGCTTTCAGATTGCCATTGCTATAGCTCAAGGAATTGCGTATTTCCACGAGCAATGCAAGAACAGGATCATTCACTGTGATATAAAGCCAGAGAACATTTTGATCGACGAGGATTTTTGCCCTAAGGTGTCGGATTTTGGGCTGGCAAAATTGATGAGCAGAGAGCATTCTCATGTGGTTACTATGGTTCGAGGAACCAGAGGTTATTTGGCTCCAGAATGGGTGAGCAATAGGCCGATTACAGTTAAGGCTGATGTTTACAGTTATGGGATGCTGTTGCTTGAGATTGTTGGTGGTCGTAGGAATCTTGATATTTCGTTGGATTCTGCTGAGTTCTTCTACCCTGGTTGGGCTTATAAGGTATGTTGTACATTTTTCTCAAGAAGGGAAAGGATTTACACATTTAGAGGAAATATTATAGCCAACAACTTAAGTTGCTGAAGTGCAAAATAGGGGTACAGACAAATACATATATTCACAAATATATCCACGTCCATATCTGGTCGAGATTTAGATATTATTATTCTTATATAGTCAGATATTGAGATAGCTTCTGCGCATACAAATACGACTATAATATCTGAATACTTTGTATCCATCAGCAGTTGATATTATTTCGATCTTAGATTTGTGCATCTTTGGTGATCCATAGACTTAAGCCTTATCCACGTCCATATCTGGTCGAGATTTAGATATTATTATTCTTATATAGTCAGATATTGAGATAGCTTCTGCGCATACAAATACGACTATAATATCTGAATACTTTGTATCCATCAGCAGTTGATATTATTTCGATCTTAGATTTGTGCATCTTTGGTGATCCATAGACTTAAGCCTTATCCACGTCCATATCTGGTCGAGATTTAGATATTATTATTCTTATATAGTCAGATATTGAGATAGCTTCTGCGCATACAAATACGACTATAATATCTGAATACTTTGTATCCATCAGCAGTTGATATTATTTCGATCTTAGATTTGTGCATCTTTGGTGATCCATAGACTTAAGCCTAGGTGTTTACACATGTCTAATACATTGGCTGGTTCTGGTTTTTTTAAAGAAATTCTAATATGTATATAACTGTTTTCCTCTCGTCCAATCTGTATTTATATCCGACTTTAGTGGATATGAATATAGGTTTTTCTTGCCAAATTATACCAGTATTTGTTCCCATATCCAGGATTTTTCAGGCCTATTGATTATTAAACAAATATAGATATGATAATACATATATGATTATATGTCATATCTGATCCTTAACTGTTTGTGTCTTAGTTAATAAACATTGTGTATTAAAAAACTTTATGTTGCTTCTTTTAGGAATTGACGAGTGAGAACCCGATGAGAGTTGCGGACAGAAGGCTAAAGGGCAAGGTGGAAGAAGATGAGCTAGTACGAGCTCTGAGTACAGCGTTTTGGTGCATACAGGAAGAAGCATGGGTGAGACCTTCGATGGGTGAAGTCGTCAGAATGTTGGAAGGATCGGTGGATATCAATACGCCACCAATGCCTCAAACTGTGGTCGAGCTGGTTGAAGAAGGGGCGGATAGTGTTTATATGGCCATGAAGAGAGAGTACTCATACACAGTCAACTCGTCGTATGTTCTTTATAGCCAGCGATCGTCGTCGCTGGCGACGTGCAGCACCTCTTCCATGTCGCCACGGTAGTGATCGAAGCTTGGTTGAATCTGCTGGCAGAATTCAAATCAATTAGTTGGTACAGAAAAAAGTAAATTGGGATACAGAAAACTTTACATGGTATCAGGTGCTCTTTGAACACGAACACAGTGCTCTATAGAGAAGAGAGGCATGTGGACATAAACAGGGGATAGTTTAGCATTATTGTAGTGTTCAGGAAGCACAAGATACTTCTTCGAGGCAATGAGGATTAAATGTAGCAAGTTTAGAGTATGTGGTTAAACTTAATCATCGTTGGGGAAGACTTAAAATCTCAATTAATTCTTGGACTTAAGAGATATTTGTGTATGTTGATAATAGTGTATTGTAGTGGGTTTTAGTCCCACATTGCTTGGGAGAACAAACCTCACACTCCTCTACTTGTATAAATATATGTGCACACTCAATATTCAATTCAAGGGAAATTTACCCAAGATTCTCTCTCTCTCTCTTACTTTAACATGGTATCAGAGATAGGGCTATTTCCCTTTCAATAAAATTTTTAACGCTTTTGCGTTCTTTTGCCAAATCTTGGCCTTATTGCTTTGCAGCCGTTTAATGTTTTATTTTTTTTATTTTTATTTTTAATTATTTGGCGTTCATCTGCCAGATATTTTGGCCTTGTCGTTTTGCGGCCTCTTAACGCGTTTCGCGTTCTCGTTTAACCTTCGGGTTCTATTTTAAACCTTCGGGTTTCATTCTAACCTTCGGGTTCTATTTTAAACCTTCGGGTTTCATTCTAACCTTCGGGTTCTATTTTAAACCTTCGGGTTTCATTCTAACCTTCGGGTTCTATTTTAAACCTTCGGGTTTCATTCTAACCTTCGGGTTCTATTTTAACGGCATTGTCGTTTCAAGACCGTCTCTCGGTCTCAAATTAACGGCATCGTCGTTTCAAGCCGTCTCTCGGCCTCAAACGAACGACATTAGTAACAGCATCTCGACATCTTAACGTCTCAAGATTGCTGTTATGGCTCCTTCAGAGAAGATTCCCAAACCACCTTTGCCCCTCAATGATCAAAGTGACTGGGCAGGGTGGTCCACCATTGTCACCAATGCCTTGCGTGGCGCTGGTTTGCTTGATCATCTCACCAGTACGGGACCAGTTCCACCGTCCATCAGCACTGTTGCTTCATCCAGTACTATTGCCTCTGGCAGTGGTGATGTCGATCTTCAGACTGCTCGTGCTCTCTATGTCAAGGAGAGTTCAGAGTGGCAATTGCAGGAATTTCGTGTTATGGATTATCTCACTCGCTGTGTTGGCTCTGGTCTCACTGTCGAGATTGGCTCGCTTCCCTCTGCTCAGGCCATGTGGACTCGTCTCACTGAGCGTTTCACTGAGTGCTCGGGTGCACGGGAGGCATATCTTCTGCAACGCATTTCTCTACAACGCAAAGGTAGTTCATCTCTGCAGTCCCATTTTGGACAAATGCAAGCTTTTTGGACAGAGTTACGCTCCATGCTTCCTGGACGTAATTCCACATATGAAGACTGGCTAGCCTGGTACGAACGGCATGAGGTGCATCAATTGTTTCAGTCCCTTCCTGAATATTCAACTATGGCTGATCAACTACTTCACCAGCCTCAATTTCCGACTTTGGCCTCAGTTATGGGAGCTCTCACTGCTTATGAGACCCGGCAGCAGACAGCACGACTCAATTTGTCAACAGACACTCCTACCTCTTCACTCGAGACTGTTTTGTCTGTACCTGTCACTGCTCCTGTTATGAATTATACTTCTCCACAGGCTCCCTCTCCACAGGCTCGATCTAAGCTCTCTTGCAAATATTGTAAGAAGGAAGGACACCGCATTGAGACATGCTTCAAGCTTCATCCTGAGTTACGTTCCTCAGGTACTGGACGTGGTCGGAGACAATACCGCCCGAATGAGTTTGGAACAGGGGCATTGAGTTTCTAGTCCTCGAGGACTCCTCTTCCTGGTTTTTCTCGTACTCCCATCACGATAGTACAACTCATCAGCTTGACAGTCGGAGTAACCTATCGTGTGTGGGCACGACTTCTCAGGTATAACGTCATCATCATCAGACAACAACGTTTCCTTCTGAGGGCGGACTGCCTTTTTAGGGCCTTCAAGAGTCACGCGCCTCGAAACATGCCTTTTTGGGCGTGAGTTCTCAGCGGGCTCCCGGACTTCAATGCGCAAAGTAGTGCGCGCAGCTGCCTTGAACTCGCTGTCATGTTGAAGGTGGCGGCGACCCCCAGCATATTGCGTCGTTCGGGGCTTCTTTACCGGGCCCAAACGTTCTTGAACTGGAGCTTTGCCTTTCTCATCGAGAATTGGACCGAGGCGCTCCAGAACCGATCTCCTTCTTCGGGATGATTCCGCGGGATCTCCCGGATAAGTTATGGGAATTACAGGTGACTTCGGTCGGTTCGCCGGAGGTTGAACTTGCTTCGAAGGCTACAACGATTTTTCCTTAGTCTGAGTCGCCGCTTCAGACTTCGGCCTCCAAACTTGGCGAGTTGGTGGCGGCTTCTTGGCCACTTCCTTTTGCAGTCTTCTTCGGGCCTCTTGGACTTGAGCCCGTGCCTGCGCTGATAGTACGCGGCGCTTGCGAATGCGCTCCTCAAGTGTCGAACGGTTCCATTTGACATGGACCCATTCGTTCGTTGGCAGCTTGAAGGAGCTACCACTCGTTGGTTGTTGAGGCTGTTTGCCTCTCCTGTTCTTCAGATCCGCGCGATAGCGGACTCCGTCGGTGGACTCCATCGCTTTTGTGAGTTGGCGTGCCAGGCGTTGACGTCGCCTCTGGCGGGCTCTCTTTGAGAGAGTCACAACGCCCTCAACAGCGGAGGCATTGGCAGGAACAGATTTGACCTGGTTGGAGGTCGGTGGAACTTCACCCGATGCGACTTTGGCATCAGTTGGGGTGAGAGCTTCGTTGGCGTTTTGTACTTCTTCATACTAATGAACTTTTCTCCTAGAGGAGAATTTCTTGGACTTGCGGGGGGAGGTGGATCCGGACGAGGATGACAGATACTCCTCGAACTGTTGTTAGTCGAATTCATACTCGACCTCCTCCTCGACCGGGATTGAGATCTGCGGCTTCGACGCGACGATCTCGGCAGCGAGATCGGTGGCTCCCACTGTGGTCGCCAGATTGTTCGTAGGAAAAATTGTAGCTTTCTTCATTGAGTTCATTGTTCTCTCAAGTAATTGTTTTTTTATTACAAAAGATCTGGTCTTTTTATAAGATCCGGTTACAACAAAATCAAAGAAAAAAATAAAAAGATTACAACTTTCCTTTTTCGAAAGAATCACGAGTTCCTGTTTTGCGGTCACTCGCTTTAGTGGGTTCTTCGCCTGCGCCGGGGTTAATCCATGGACCACCGCGCGATCAAGATCCGGTCGGATCTACACGATGTAACGGGTGTTATCTCACGAAGGAAATAACAGCCGGGGGGGTACTATTTCACCAAGGAAATAGTAGCCTTCTCGGGATCAAAGGCCAAGCTTTGATCCGGAGTATAATCGCTTAGATCTCGGATCCGATCCCTCTCGAACTCCTGACTTATTTGACGTGGACGATCACCGAGCACCGGATCTGAAAGATCAAGTCTTCAAAGCTTCAAATCTCCAAGGTTCAGATCTCAATTCAACAGAGCTTCGCCGTCAAAAATTCCAACCCTTCAAAATGAGCCATGCCTAGCCTATTTATAGGCACTCGAACCTGTGCCTTGGCACAGGTGGCCGGCCACCCGTGGGTGGCTCGGCCACTGAGCCACCATGGGGTGGCTCGGCCACCCCATGGGGTGGCTCGGCCGTCCATTTGGTGGCTCGGTTGCCGAGCCACCACTTGGTGGCTCAGCTCACCGAGCCACCTAGATAGCTTAGTGCCGAGCTCTTTCCCCGGGTTTTCGCTGTGTCGTCCGTTGCCCGGTTTTATGATTTCGTGGTTTATCCAAGTTCTGATATAGAAGTCCGAATCCCGATTTGGCAGTAAATCCGCCTTGGTGTTTGAGTTCGAATCCATTCTATGGTTGAATGACTCGTTGACTCACCGAACTGTTAGCTTGATTCCGCATGCGAGTGGATGTATTCCATTGTTTGCGTACAGTTCGTTAGCCTCGTCGCCTCGTTAATCCGCTTCGTCGCGTGACATTTGGCTTCGGTATTGTGGACTAACGATCGTGTTTGGATACGTCGCCCGATGGTTCGTTAGTTCGTCGAATCACCATGCCGAGCTGTGTTAAGGGACCTATAAGCAGTTTTATACGCCTACAGTCCAATCTTATTATAATTGTAACAAGCTCCCTGAAATCAGCATTGCTGCTATGCTCTCTGGTCCTGCTGATGGCCCTTCTTATGGGACCCTACTGTTGCGGATCCTTACCCTGCTGATGGGGTCCTCCTGAGCCTCCAAATGGTCTTTTACCCTTTCCTTTATCCTCGGACTGTCCTAACTAACCATTGTCCTTGCCCTTTATGAATATGGTTGTATCTGTCTCCTGAGCCATGGAAGCATCTACCACCTCCCACACTGAATGAAACCTCTGAGATACTATATACCAGCATAACCCTGGACGAAGACCCATCAGGAACATCTGAGCCTGTCGCTCCTCTGTATGCCACATACCGATGAACCTCAGCAATGACATGAACTTACTCTTAAAGTCCATGACAGACATATCCCCCTGCTCTAATCGAGCCAGCTCTAACTCTTTTCCGGCTTTCGCTGCAGCTGAAACTTACTGTTCATCAAAAAGATATATAAAAGTCTCTAACGAGACCAACATCCTCTGCTCTAGGGGAAAACGGAGTCTATACCATCCTCCTGCATCACCTTTGAGGCTGACGCCTTTGAGGCTGAAAGCCGTTAGCCTCTGCTTCTGTATAGAATTAGCATTCAGCATATCTAAGATGATACTCACATCATCCTTCCATTTGTGTGCCGCAATGGAGTCCGTCGAACCATGAAACTCTAGAGCCTTCAACTTCTGGTACCTCTCTACCAAACGAAACCAAACCTCCTGCTCAGCCAGTCTATCATTAACTGGAGGTGGTGGTGCAATTACTGGTGTCCTCTCTAGTATCTCCTCCTGAATGGGAGTTCCCTGTCAAGCTTGATCTTCTAATTACTCCTCAATATCCACCAAAAGAGTTGCCAAGGGTGCTATGAGATCCACTAAGTACTGCGGAGCCTACTGTGGCTCGGGCTCCCTATCATCCTGCTCAACTCCTTGAGCACGAGTAACTTGGCGTCCACGACCTCTTCCTGACATCTATAATTCCAAAATAAAGCTTATTACGTAGTAAATAGGATCTCAAGCATGAAGGATATAACATATACCAATAAGCAAATCATATCACATATATCTCATATCATGCTTTATTATTCAAAGCAAATAGATCATAAAAAAAATTT